GTAGTATAGCCAACCAAATTTTGCATCACATGCGCACGAGCAACCCAATGTGATTTTCATTAAAACAACATTGCTTCCAATGAGAAACTGGGTGGGAAACTCAAGTAAAAAGCTACAAGCATCTAACCAATAACCCAAATTCATTACGTGACCAAGGAGGCTTCTCAAACATATCAAATCGTTTACAAGGGCCGTTAAGGGAGTTTGTCAACTCGATTGCCAAAAAAGCTACTGGCGAAGACAGCCTCTAATAGCGTTCACTGAAAATTAAGATATGCCTCATTACAAATGATCCATTTAGATCAGAGATCCTCTGTCATACTTGACCATCAAAACTTTAAAAAACAGTATTGCCGGCCCGTGAAGGGGGCTGGATTTTTAGGACATGTCTCCAGAAGACAATGCAATTTTTTTCTTTTTATTGGAAATGATATAATGGCAGAAGGAATATTACCTTCGCCGTCACGATCATCATTTTCTTTCAGAAGAAATGTTGTTACCTTCACCCCCACGAGCATTCTCTCGAATGACTCTCTTCCACCACCATAGTTACCGCGACGGTTGCCTCCGTCTCGATATCTGAAAAAGATAATCTCTCTGTTTGGTACTAGAGTAGAAATAGAAAGCGCAAGATAGAAAACCAGAAAGAAATAAATCAAGCATGCTACCACAGGACTAGAGACCCATATCTGGCGCTTGTGCCTCGTTTACCACCTTGATCGATTTAGTTTCATATATCAGTAGCCCTGTTCGAACTACTTATTTTTCATGAACTCCCTATAGTGCCAAATGATAAATGCTAAGTTAGTCGAAGCTGGTCTCTTTTCCCATCAAAAAAGTTGAAAAGCCACCCGATCTCCTCCTCCCCACAATAATCGAACATATTGCTTGATAAAAATCTGAGGGTATACTCACCCTCCTCCACCACCTCCTCCCATTCGGCCTCCTCCATCACCATACGAGCGTTCATTATCGTCGTAGCGTGGACGCGGCGCATCGCTAGTGCCCCCGTCACGATTACGTCGATGCGGAGGCACGTAGCGTTCACGCACAGATTCGTTTACAGCAGCATTTCTACCGCTGTCATTATCGCAATATCCTCTTTCCATCAAAAAAACAAGTCGCAAATGCGCGCCGAAGTTTGAGACCTCTCCTAAAATGACTTCATAGATTACGTTCAACCTAACGACCGCATCACACACATAAGCGAAGGACATTCAAACAAAACAATGCTCGAATTCAACACATTATACGATATAGAGCGGTTTCACTAATTTATGGAGAAGAGAGCGAAGTACTGACATTCCCGAACGTAAACAAGATAATCCGTAATATCGAGGAATCTGTAACAACAGAACACAGCAAGGAAAACAACGCAGAACGGGTGAAGAAACAAAAGCGTAAACAAAGTCGCCAGTAACGTCATTCCATTCGGTTCCATCGTGGAAATAGTTGGCACAGTTATAAAGAAAAGAGCATAATGGAGTGAGAGAAGCAAGAGAGATGTTTACGCATAATATTGCACACAATTTAGATTTATCTATGTGAGAGAATTTCATTGAACTCATGACCTTATGGAGCGCTGGAATTGGAAGGGACAGATCGATGGTTGC